CAATAGCAGCTTAACGCTGCTGCGTTTCGTAGAGTGAGTGTAGAGAACCGGAGACCCTTTTTACTGAAAACGAGGCCCACGGGTGACAACGCATCTGCATTATGATACGTACTCGAGGATAGATGTAGACGTCTATGGGCCACAGAAACTACTTACCATCAGGTGGTCTCCGTGCTAGTTTGTAACCCTCATTCTAAAATAAATTACCATCAGGTGGACTGAATGCGCGTTTTTCACCATTATTTCTATAAAAAAACAATACCCTCATTAAAAACTTTTTGGTTATGCATTGCTTTAAATAGATCATTTTGATACTATCATTCATGTTCCAATTTCTTATTTTAGTATGTTTATTCATTTTGTAAGCACTCCATTAAACTTCTCGTAGCGTAGCGTCAATACGGCTACGAAGTTCGTAGCAAATGCCTACGCAAGGCAATATCTTAATAAGACGCTCAACTGAAACTATTATTAACAGTACTTTCTCGTTTTTCAATAAGATTTAGGTCACTAATTTATCATTATTATATTATTCGTGATCATCATCACACCTAAATTAACATGAATGAACATAAGTGATAGATATCTTGTTCACTTATTTCATGCTCCTAACTCTAAGACTAATTTTAGAATTATGGTTTTTGTAACACTGCAAAAAACTAATTAATAATATTATTTAATGATAAAGACAATTTGAACAATTATGTTCTCTTTTTTTGTGACACATGGTTTCTAATTTCCTTTCTTGCATTACCAATGTCAATATATAATATATACCAATATAATAATATAAATACCTATGTCAGTATGTATATATACGTTATAGCCAAAGTAACAAATCCGGATATTATACATATTATCTAGCCCTTATTTATAATGTCTACTCAATTTAGATGAAGTGATAATTGGCACAGAATTAATCGCATTAACCAGCAATTTTATATAAAATTGTTCCGAGCTTAGGGTTCGTGACAATAAAGACAGCCGATTGAATTACCAAAATTTACACTTTTATTACCAAACACCAATTAAAACTTAAAAGACACAAACAATCACACTGATTCACTTTATTTCGCTCCGAAGCTTCGCTTGTCTCGCCAAATTCAATACTGCCCCGATCGCGTATTGCAGCGCCTATAAAAACACCTTTTTCACTGAAACATCCAGAATATTCAAGTAAATACGCGCCCCAACCGACCAGGCGCCGAAAGTTCGAGTGGAGGGCTTCTAGAAAGCTTAGTTCTTCAATTCGATACTAGATGGCGCTGTTGGTTGAAAGATTAGTTATGTCATTTTCTGGAAAGCTCTCCTCGCTCTGTTACGCGACACTAGATGGCGCTAGTGCCAGACGTCAACTTAGGCGCGCAACACTGCCCCCTCCTAAGACATGCTCGTCCCGAGCATTATCGGCCCCATAATAACGCGCCAGGCGATCCACATGGACGATGTTAGGAGTCCCTCTTGCGCCTTTCTGTATCCGGTAGGTTACATCGTTGATCCTGGTCACAATTCGGTACGGGCCGTCTCATTTAGCTTGAAGCTTAGGAGATTTCCCTTTTCTGCGGACTGGATTGAGCAACCACACTAGTGAACCTTCGCCGAACCTTTTGTTGTTTATTTTGCGGTCATACCGGGTTTTCATCTTTTCGGAGATTTGCTGGCCCGATTGTCTGACGTGCTCATAAATGTCATTCATTTTGTTCCGCAATTCATTTGCATAATCGGTTATACTGCGTCATCAGGTGGTATCCTGGTGATCAGGTCTGCAGGCAGCCGTAATTTTCTTCCAAAGTTTGCGAAAGCTGGTGTCACTGATGTACTTTCGTGAACAGCGCTTCGATATGACAACAAAAACGGTTGTATGTGCTTGTCCCAATCTCGTTGCCGATTGTCTACAACTTTTGCTAGGTACCTCTCCAATGTCTGATTAAATCGTTCTACCATTCCATCAAATTGCGGGTGATAAGAAGTCGTTCTTGTTTTATGAGTACCCATAACTCGGCAAGTTTCCTGGAATATTTGAGACTCAAAATTCCTTCCTTGATCGCTGTGAATCTCTAAAGGTACTCCAAAACGACAGAAGACTTCATGAACTAGTTTATCTGCAACTGATGAGGTTTCTTGATTTGGAATGGCGAAGACTTATGGCCACTTAGTGAAGTAATCCATCACAACCATGAAATACTTGTTACTGCTTTCATTCGCCGAAAACGGCCCCGCCACCTCAATGGCTATTCCCTCCCATGGTGCACCAATATTGTACAACTTCAATGCACCTTTACTACGAGTCTGATGTCCCTTTAGAGCCGCACAACTTGTACATTTGCGACATCAGTCCTTGACATCGTTTCGACAGTGGACCCAGTAAAACCGTTCTCAGATCTTCAGTGGAGTTCGTTTAAATCCTCACGGATACCACTACCTTACCCTCTTACCTAATACTGTTCTCGCAATCATCAAGATGAGATCTTCTTGACAATGCATCTGTGATGACTCTCCATTTCCCGCTGCAGTGTCCGATAGTAAAGTCGTATTCCTGTTGCTACTGGGCGGTGCTGTAAGCTACACTACCCCCTCGAGATCGATCACCTTCCCATTTTACAGATCGCTAAGGGCAGCTGGATCGAAAATGGCCTCTTTCCCCACAGCCGTAGCACCTTGGGCTGTAATTTTTATTGTGGTTGCGAACCGTAACTGCTGCAACCTCCCTAACGTGAGGGGAGCGAAGATACTGCCGCCGCCAGGTAGTGCCGTTAGCTGCACTACCCTCTCGAGATCGATCAACTTCCTTTTCTACAGTTCACTTAGGACAGCTGGGTCGAAAATGGCCCTTTTCCCCACAGCCATAGCACCTAGGGCTGTATCCTTTGTTGCGGTCGCGAACTGTAGCTGCTGCAACCTCCCAGACGCGATGGGAACGATGATCCTGCCGCACGGCTTCCACCTCCAGTGCATGGGCCAAGGCGTCCTAAAGCGTCTCGTGGTGCCCGAGCCACACAGCAGCTCTGACTTCCAGGTCGCGGATGCCATCGATGAATGTCTGCACCTGCAGGTTCCCTTCAATGAGCGCAGGTACAGACCGGTATGCTTTTCGCACCAGCTTTTCCACTTCAAGGGCCCACAGCTGCAGGTTTTCGTTGCTACGTTGCACGCGATCTTTAAGCTGCGCGCGAAAGACGTGTTCCAGGTGAGCATCGCCATATCTCTCCTCCAATGCCTCAAGGAGCTGCTCGTAGGTCAGTTTCTTACCGAAAGCTTCCAATACAGTTAAGCCTTGGTCGCGCAGGCCTAGAGTGCAGTCATGGCCTGGCTTTTATTCCAGCCGTTCGCCTCCTTGACGGCCTCGAACTGGATTTTGTAGACCGACCAGGAAGAAGTCCCGTCGAACGGTGGCACTTTGAATCCACGTAGTGAGGGTGTTGTAGCTACTACGGAAGCTGTAGTTTCATCCCCAAGTTTGAGTTCGTCCAGTGATTTCTTCATGTCAGCTATTACGTTGTCAACCCGATTGTTTACTTGGTCAATTCGGGTTTTAGCTTCCGACAGGCGGTTGTCATGTTGAGCAACCTTATCCTTCATCTCTTTTCCGAAGGTATCTCTTTTCCGAAGGTTCCGTATCACTTTTCCGAAGGTAGCGTGGATGTCCTTCATGAGGAGCATCGCGTTTGAGCTGCTCTTCCAAACGACGGATCTGTTCCTCTTATCCGCCCCGCAGCTGCTCTTCCAATCGGCGTGCCTGTTCCTCCTGCCGGCGAGTCTGTTCCTCATGCTGCTCTTTCAACCAACGGGCCTGTTCCTCCTGTTGGCGGGCCTGTTCCTCCTGCCGGCGAGCCTGTTCCTCCTGCTGCTCTTTCAACCAACGGGCCTGCTCCTCCTGTCGGCGAGCCTGCTCCTGTAGCATCACCATCAGAGCACCTAAGTCAGGTGCTGCAGATGTAGGAGCTACTGACGGACCTCCAACAGGCGGCTGGCCCTCCGACGTCTGCGGCGTTGCACCACCAAATCATCTTTGGTCCGTCTCCTGCTGGCGTTGACTTCGGGTACAGACATCCTCAATCGGCATGATTTTATCCCACTTCTGACATCAATCGTTACGAGCTTAGGGTTCGTGACAATAAAGACTGCCGATTGAATTACCAAAATTTACATTTTTATTACCGAACACTAATTGAAACTTAAAAGACACTAATAATTAATCACACTGATTCACTTTATTTCGCTCCGAAGGTTCGCTTGTCTCGCCAAATTCAATACTGCCCCGATCGCGTATTGCAGCGCCTATAAATACACCTTTTTCACCAAAACATCCAGAATATTCGAGTAAATACGCGCGACAACCGACCAGGCGCCGAAAGTTCGAGTGTAGGGTTTCTAGAAAGCTTAGTTCTTCAATTCGATACTAGATGGTGCTGTTGGTTGAAAGATTAGTGATGTCATTTTCTGGAAAGCTCTCCTCGCTCTGTTACCCGACACTAGATGGCGCTAGTGCCAGACATCAACTTAGGCGCGCAACAATATCTTCGAAGACTTGGATAATGTAATAAAACAAGTATATGTAAATATTATAAAATTATATTTCAATTTGCCTCAAGGATACTTAACTATATGTGTAGCAAATAGTAATATTTTAGTAATAATAGAAAAGTAATAATTATAATGTTTATTTTAAGAATAAAATAACATTGTCAATTCTACGTTAATTAACATTGATAAAAAATTATTTAACTTTAAATACCTTAATTTATAAAGTATTTTTAAAGCTCACTAGCCATAAAACAAAATTTAAAAAAAAACACAGAGATCAATACAGACAATAATAAAATATTTAAAATGAACTGACATGAATTAATTGGGTTATAATTATTATTTATTCTTACAAGTAACGCTCTTGTGACTTTTTGAGTTACACATGAGGTTTGACTTTTTACATTTACACCTATTAGAAACACATTCTCCAGTACAGTTGCAATGCAGAAATCCTTGGCCGCCAAGATGTGACTCTATTTTGCACCTTGTCTGATGGTAACTTCATGTTGGGGAACGATATCAACTGTAATAAACGTTTCTTTGCAGACAGTGAACTGATTCTTTGCGTAAAGTTGATTTAGAATCCCATGCTTAGTGCCTAACTTATACATTCCTTCTGTCTCCTGAGAAATTATAACAGCTATAATGTTTCTATCATCGGCTTTGACGCGGTCTACATCAGGAATTTTTACCACTACATTATCGCCTGTATTAACAGCAGGATATTTTACCGAAGATAGAGCTAATATTTTACCTGCTTGCTTTTTCAGAGATTGTCCAACAAATTTTCTGATATTTCCTATATCTTGTTTCTTTTTATCGAGAGCAATTACTATTTCTTGGTCACTTTGCGTTATTTTTGACGGATCTGTAGTATTTCCTTGGTTTTCGGTCTCTTTATCAGATTTTCCTGTCAGGTTATTTTAAATTTCATTTTGCGAATCAGTGTTTAAAATTGTAGTATCGCTTTCTATTTCTTCATCTACAAGTACATTAATCACAGCGTCGGTAATATTGGGTTCGGTTACCTTCTCCTCGTTCAACTGGTTTTCGTCTTCATTCAGTATAGATTCTAGCTCTTCTTCTGTTGACAGTTCAACTAGCGCGTTTTTAGGAAAACTATTTAATCCGACTTTAGCTTTACAGCCAAACGTTGCTTCGTAAGGGCTACGATTTATCCCTGCGTGATACGCTCTGTTCTTCATAAATTGAATAAAGCGTAATCCTTCAGACCATCGTCGTCGTCTTGTTAGATTCCAGCCAAGTACAAAGGATCTTCTCTACGTCTTGGTTAGCCCTTTCAACAGACCCTTGTGATTGAGAGTGTCGGGGTTTACCATGAACGATTTTTACTTCCGGCCACATCGCACAGACTTCTTTGACCACTTTGTTAGCAAATTCCCTACCATTATCGCTTTGCAAAATACTAGGCGCTCCTAATATAATAAAAATGACAAGTAAACTATACGCTACCTCTTCTGCTCGCTTGCTTTTTAACGACCGCAACTGCACGAATTTTGTTAGGTGATTTTGATACACCATGATGAATATTTATCACCATCACCTTGTGATTGCATGTTTATTAGATCAACTTGGCACCTTGAATTAAGCTCGTTGCTGATAATTGGTTTTACAACAAGACCTTTTTTGGCAAACTTTTTTTCTGACAAGATCCACATACACTGTGATGAGTTCAGCAGTTACATTTTTATATCTTAATTTTAACTCTTTCATCATTCTGACTCTACCGCCGTGTCCAATACTAATATGACAGTAGTGGATTATTTGAAAAGTTTTGTCTCAGTGAGCATAGTAAATAATGGGATCACCTTCGTTTTTCACTGGAATAATTAGTTTTTCTGATGCTCCAATTTTGACGACATCGTATCTTGCTAAGCGCTGGTAATCTTCTGGTATTTTCTTAGTAATCTTGTTCTTTGATTCTTTTACTTTTAAAATTAAAGACAAATATTGATCATTTATAAACAACTGATTATATTTTTCGTTTACTTGCAATAAGTACAGTGGTAGTTTCATAGAGACGTTTTTTCATTTCATCTGACATCATCAGACACTGATACAAATGTAAAATCACGACACATCAACCTTTAAATATCAGGCACTTGTTTTGTTTTTTTTATTTTCTCTTTTTTTTATTAATTCGGTGTAAATGTTTGTTTGTCCTAAATAAATTAATAATAAATAAATTAATTGGCTTATAATCTACAATGGCATTCCGATTACACAACCATCACACGAAATCAAACCATTAGTAGTTATTGGAAACACTATCTTTGTAGTTGTTGACGAGTTCCTGGAGCAAAGAGTAACTCCAATCAAGAGATAGCTCAAAGTAACTCAGCGTGCAATATAAAAAGCTGCCTATAAATTTGGAATCTCTCCGCGTGATAAACCTTTAACGAGGGTATTCGCAGAAGAAACAGGGACGCTCATATAGCTGAAAGAACCGACTACTTAATCTACCAACTAGAGCTTTAGTCGCTCTCCGGGATGAAATTCTTGCTTGCAAAAGTAGTGACCCCGTAACGGTCGGAAACGTCCAATGAATAATGAAGTCCAAACAACAATGAAGCTTGTCTTAAATTCATTCTTTCTTTCATTTACGTTCTTGTTCCTTGCAACTTGCAACAAGAACTTGTTCTACAGTCCCAAGAAGATATCGTCTTCTGTCTAGTATATAGTCAGTAATCTATGGTCTTCTGCAAACTACAGCCCCTACTAGTCCAACTGGTCTTCATCTCAGATTCTGACTTACAGAGACTCACCGCAGATTTATAATTCAGATTTCTTGTACTTACTTACTTAAAGGACTTACAAGCATAAGAAGAGTCTTGCACATCTTCTGGATGGTGGGACTCCATTTCTGTCTGCCAATACCAATTTCTGTCACCAAGCTGCAAAGCGTGTACTATAGTGTTCCGATCTGAAGGTTATAAAGTCCTTAGAAGTGATGTAATCTGTAAGCTTCTTTATTTGAAGATGACTAAAATCAACAGTTTTAAAATTAAATAATTCATTAAGTTTATTATAACGTTTTTATTTATTAAAATGTTATAATTTGTCTTAGTTATAATACCGCCTCATTGGTCCACGACGTGTTTGTCGACGGAACACATCATAAGGAAACCTGCATGTCATAGGAATAATAAAAAACTAAGACACACGTACCACCAACACTCACTGCAATAGTACGTTTAACTTATTTGTTCTATAGCCCACTCTGTAATTAGAGGAGATTTGTGTCCAGCCGCGAAAATATATAGGCTGAATCGTTACTTTTCGTAAAATATTATTTTATTCATTGAAAAAGAGTGACCAACGAGCACACAGTCCACTTTATGTTAAGTGGATGTTGTGGCCCATAGATATCTTCATCTATAATCGATTATATAATTTAGAAATTTGAAGTGGTATAACCATGTTTCAGCTATATTATGATTGTAGAGCAAATAGGTCGACTTAACCGGGGAAATACCACGGTCTCATGTTTAGTGTAGAGAATTGGAGACCCTTTTTACTGGAAACGTGGCGTACCAACTTAGCCCTCAGAAGTGACAACGCATCTGTTGTTGGATTTGGCCTATACCGATTTAGTTCTCCCTCAACCGGATTATGGTATTTTGATTCGGCATTTTAGAATGGATGTACTTCCAGTTTTAAGTCTGTAAAGTTTTGTTAGTTAGTTGATGTTTGTAAAAGTATAAGATTGGTATGATTCTTAAATTCAAAAATATAAGTAGGTATTCGATATTGATAATCTGTTCTCTTTTTTTCTTTTATTAAACACGCGACATAGGGAAACTGAAATAGGAAATGGGCAGCAGCATCTTCCCGATAACAGCTTAAAATAATACAAATTGCGGTTGCTCAACCGCTCGCGAAGCGTGAGATTTAAGTTTACTTTACATAAATATTCGGGTCTAATATACATAAATTTTGTTAGTGTTATTAAAACTTATAACAAACTAATACGCACTTAAGTAAACTGCTTCAAGGCTGTCGAACACGCCCACCAACGCCAAGGCTACTACTTTGTGTGACTTTTCCGACGTGTCCTGAATGCCGGGGCTGATTTTTACTACTTTTATTCCGATATGGTATTACTAAGAAAACAGATTTGAGTTTTAAAAAGTATTTAAAATACTAGGTATTATGAAAGAGTTCTCAGTAATTTCTAATTTTAGCCGCCACATTCCATCATTGCAAACATATCACAACCATCATCACACAATCGCTGATAAAAGCCAATTTCAAACAAAGTCGTGCGAGGAAGAAAACTTCTGGAAAGACGTATAGTTGTGGAGCGCCATTTTAACAACTTCTGTTGTTAAAATTGTGGAACCACCAAACATGCAGATGGTTTTTGGAACATAAGCGTCGTTTCAACAATTCCCAAATTGAAGGTTGAATGTTCTAGACAACTTATAAAAAAGGCATTCACATAAAGCGGCACAAGATGCTTGTGACAGCTCCATTATTGTTTTCGTATTTGTTTGAGATGAAAAATTACTTTCATTAAAATGTTATATTATTTACAGCACATAATTAAAACTTTTGTTTGAAATGCCTTATTTTTGTGCGATGGCAGTTTATAAAAGTAAAGGATGTATATATATATATATATATTTATGGCGAGTACCTAAGCTACAATGGCATATAATACTTTTTTTAGAATAATGATAACAAATGATTCCACTTGATGGTAAGTGAACGAATGTTTAGGCCGAATGACATCCACATCTATTAACCATTAAAAATTAAAATTCAGATATCTGATATCTGACGACTAAGATGGAATGCCCCGTTTCCAGTATAAAAGGTCTCCTCCGGTTTTCCACACTTCCTTACTATACGAAATACAGCATCATTAGTCCGATTTCTCATGCTGGTATTCTATGAGAGTATGGTCCTACCCCGGTCGATACGATCCATTTGCGCTGAAGTCCGGTGAACAGTATTACTATCGGCTTATTACAGTCATGGGGACTATTAACTCATCTCAGGTTTCTTTTGTATTAGGAAGAAGTTAAAAAAATGTTCTAAGAGAACTGTATAGATGAAATTGTGATTACCATTGATGAAAACATACGATTGACCCTACAGGCCATTCTTGCAACTTCCCGCTAACTTCAAGAGTCCAACTTTTCATCTCCATCATTAACGTCATGAAATTATATAATACCGATTTTGATGCAGTTTGCAACAATTGATGTTGCGTTTTGAGGTTAAGAGCTGATTAGATTCTGGAATTTCAAAATTTAAATTTTTCAGTTTCTCAATCATTTTATTAGTTTAAAAGTTATAGCAAAAAAACTTATTTCTGAAAGTTTAATTTTTGAGATTTCTCAACATGCACCCAACCAAACTGATTCAAATTCTCTTGAAATCTAATGGCAGTAGAACTCTTTCATGTGCAGTGAATCGCGTTTCGATCAGTCAAGCCGATTTTTTGAAAATCATTGGTTTTCATAGCGGGGAGTTAATAATTACATGTATCTTGGATTTACGTACTAATTTTAGTAGTCTTAAAACTTTTTCTAGATTTTCTATTTTAAGGTTAGAAAGTTAACTTTACACGTCTCAATGCTGGGTACAGGCCTCGTCTCAATTCTGAGAGGGTTTTTAGAGCAACGAAAATTGAAATATGAAGGGATAAGGGAAAAAATGGAGTCGTGGTAGCTCAAAGGTTAAGCGCTCTCTGTAAATTTCACAGTATGTAAGCAATCCTGGTTCGATCCCCGCCGGCACAAATGAAATTGTTAATTGCGATTTCAAGTACTGATTTACCCACCACGTGCTCGACGGTGAAGGAAAACATCTTGAGGAAACCTGCATGTTTGAGAAATAAAAAAATATTTAAGACATGTGAAGTCCACCAACACGCATTGGGGCAGCGCGGCGAACATTTTTTATTTTAAAATAATTTAAACATTTAGTTGTTTTTCTCAATTGCGATGTTCTCCATTTATTACTATAATAAAACAAGAAACTAAAAACTTAAATTATCATATTGTGGTGCCAAGAACGCTTGATGCGTTTATTCGATGAATGTCTATACCATGCCCTTTCGCCATTGAGCGTAAAAAAAACCAGCCCTCTTATCACCAGCAGCGACGACCAGTCGCGGAGACACAGTTCTTTTACGGAATTGTTCATTTTCAACTCACGTGAACCCCACGGACCGAGGTTATTTACTGCAAATGGCTTTTTTTTTTGCGCCCGAAGCAATTAAAGGGCTACCCTATACGAAGGGAGGCGGAAAATGCATTACGCATACCACGATAGCCGGTCTATCGTGGTTATGAGGGACTCACTGTCCTACCGGGGACCCTAAATGATACCCTCTAAAAACCGCCTTTGGGGACAGGCAACCGGCTGATTAAGCTGTATTGTGCCTTATCGTGAGCGACCCTCTTTTGGGAAAAGAGGGTCGCAGGCGGCTACGAGCCGCTGAGGGAGTGCCTACGAAGGCAAATTAATATTAGTTAATATAATAATTTAATTTAATTAGAGTTGGCCTGAGCTGCCAGGAGGCAGTTCAGATCGTTAGTTAGTTTATTAGGCGGGTCCGATAGAGAGTTTCTCGGCTTGCGGACTTGATAGCGAGAGGGGGGTGGGGCTGCATAAGTAGCTGCCTCACGAATTAAATGATTTGAGTGCGACTTTTTTTTATAGAAGAAGGGGCAAACGAGCATGCGGCTCACCTGATGTTAAGTGACTACCGCCGCCCATGATCAACCGCAAAGCCGGCCCTTTAAAAAGGAGTAAGCTCTTTTCTTGAAGGTCCCCAGGTCGTATCGGTCCGGAAAAATCGCCGGTGGTAAACTATTCCACAGAGAGGTTGTACGTGGAAGAAAACTCCTTGTGAAACGTACAGTGGTGGACCGCCAAGCATCCAGATGGTGTGGATGGTATCGGGACGTTTGACGTGTAGTGCGTTCACGAAATTTGGCGGCTGGGATTAATCCGAACAATTCCTCAGAGCACTCCCCGTGATAGATGCGATAAAATACGCAAAGAGATGCAACATCTCTTCGCAGCGCCAGTGAATCGAGCCGATCGGAAAGCACTCGGTCGTCGACGATACGCTGGGTGCGGTCAAGTGGAAGAAGCTGGTACTGGGGAGCCCCAGCCCAGAGATGGGAACAGTATTCCATGTGCGGCCGAACCTGCGCCTTGTAAAGTTGCAGGCTCGCTCTGCTGAGCACGCCAAGCTTTTTAGAGGCCAATTTTGGCCTTCCCTTCCAAGAGACCACGAAACTGCACGTCACTCGATATGTCGACGCCGAGGATTCCGATACTGGCTGAGGCAACAAGGGGAGTGCCTTGAAACTGAGGGGATACGACAAAGGGGTTCTTTTTAGCGGTTAACGCGCAAACTTGTGTCTTCTGGGGGTTAAACTGGACTAGATTTAGTCGCCCCCAATCCGAGACTCTGTCCAGCAGAGATTCGACTTCAGACACAAGTTTGTCCCGGCACTCGGAGACGTTTTCCCGAGAAATATTGGCTCGGCCGGTGTAAAGAGCATCACCAGTGCTGTCATCTGCATAGCAATGAATGCTACGGGTATGCAACATGTCATTGATATGCAGAAGAAACAGCGTTGGCGATAGCACGCAGCCCTGTGGAACACCAGCATTAATAGGCTTGCAATCGGAGCTTGCACCGTCTACGACGACCTTGATGCTCCGATCTGCAAGAAAGCTGGTGATCCAATCGCACAATTTCTCGGGAAGCCCAAATGAAGGGAGCTTCGAAAGAAGCGCTTTGTGCCAAACCCGATCGAAGGCCTTCGCAATGTCCAAACTAACGGCCAATGCCTCCCCCCTTGAACTCTACTGCCTCCGCCCATCTGTGAGT